CTTGAACCAAAACAATCTCGTTCTAATGGGAAATACACGGCTTTCCTTCTTCTTTCTCCTTCCTTGTTGGGGGTTCCCCAGCCCCAAGGATTTCCTCTTGAGGCCTTCGTTTCATAAGCAGTGGCCGCCTCAGCCGAAGGTCCGGTTGCAGCTTCCTTTGACCTCAAGAGTGAAGCTTTGCACCTGGTTTCCCTTCTTCAACATATGCCTTGATTTTTACTCTTCCCGTCGGCTTCTTCCCATCAGTATATACATATGCCCTAATTCCAGCCAGGAAGTGAAAAGGAATACTGTCTCGGGAATAAAGGCAAGAATCCAGGAGTCTCATGGTCCCAACACCATATGGAAGAAACCAAGAAGATGACAGTAAAACCTTGGATTGTAACTTGGTTTGCGAGTGTTCTACAAGATGAGCAAACACTTCTAATACATTTTAATGTGGTAAACAAGCGATGTCTTGCAATACGAGTAGTTTGTTTCCGAAATAAATTATGCTCGCAAACCAAGGAAGTACTGTATTTGGCTCAGACGCCAACACCAGCAAAGTCAACAGCCCATATCACTTGATTTTTGGTCTTAAATAGTTTTCAAGATTCAATATTGAATACTACTCAATATTCAATATTCAATATTATTGAATAGTCTTCAAGCCACCTAGGATGGTGGTTTTAAAGCAAAGGAAGAAAGAGCCAGTATAAAAAAACGTGAGGTACAAAGAAATTCATCCTGGTGGTTGCGAGTCAGCCATATGCCAATCCATGGCTGAATTCCAGTGAATTAATTTCACATGGGAAAAAAACCTTCCATTTCACAGACCAGGTATCATTTTACTCTGGCAGTGGTGTGGTGTGGGGACCCAGAACAGGCACTGGACGGAGGCAGACTCAGGATCGTCCCTGGGCTCTGTCCCTCTCTGCCCTGTGACCTCAAGTGACTTAGCGGCTCTGTCTGTTCATCAGTTTTCCTCATCATCCAGAGAAGACTTTTGGGCGGATGAGAGGCAAGGCCCTTGAGACGCCCAGCATACGAGCCGTTCCTGACACACAGTGGGTGTGCCGTGACTGGTGGGTGCTGGGATTCCCACTTCACTCTCCTAGACTTTCCAGAGAAGTGGCCGAATTCACAGCAGATGGCCACAAATCGACTTCTCCCTAAAAACCACAGCAGGTGACTCATCAGCAGCCTGGGAAAGATTCTGCCAGTGTGGGATAAATGAAATTAACCACAAGTGTACTCCACTGACATCTGATGGGAACAACAGAGAAAGGAGGTGGCAGCTACTCATTCTAAGAGACCATCCTGTTGGCTGGCAGAACTGGCCGTCTCTTTGCCTCTTTCAGCTGGCCATTCTCAGGACAGCTTTTTGCATCTCGAAATCATGCTCTACATTTTCCATTGTCACTCTACTTTGTCACTTTCCCACCCATGGCTGGAGCCATTTATTATTTGCACAAGTCAGGTGACCTGGGTAGCACCCCAGTCACGTCCCCAGACATCTCACCTAGCCCTGATCCTAGTGTACCTCCAGTGCTTAAAAGAAAATGCTTGTGTTTCATTGACCACACAGAGAATGTATGGAGATGAAAATGAGTGATTTTTAGTACTCACATGTCACATAAACATGGAGCTTTCGGATGTGCTAAATGAGCTAGGTGCGTAGCTGACATTTGGCACTGACTAGAGGTTGGGGGAGGAACAGGTTCTTCCTGAAGAACTAAAGGAAAAGAAACATCTTGAAAATCTCAGCAGGTTCTCCTCCCCTCAGCCATCCCTCCTTCCCCAAGCTGCCCCAATACAAGCACACACAGCATAGAAATTTCCCACACACACACACACACACACACACGCCCACAAAACAACTGGGGGAAAAGGTAGCCTTTCAAAGTGAATCTCATAAAGAAACAGTCCAATGAGGCAGAGTCACAGGTGTCATGCATTGGCAGGTCCAAAACTTTCTGTGCCTCAGGGCCCCACACAAGTCCTCGGTCACATGCTGAGACAGCTATGTCACCTCCATAGACAGGGGTAGAGGGGGCAGGGCTGATTTCCAAGCGTGACAATACCTTTTCCCTTAGTTAAGCAGAGAAAAGTAAGAACGTTTGACTAGAAACCCAAAGAACAAAATAGAAATTAAAAAATCAAGGCTCTAAATCATGGGTTGAACACAATGAAAAAGCAATATTCTGCCTGCCAGCCTCTCCCGCCCAGCTTGCATAGTTAGCTAGCATCTGGGCCTGCTTTCAATAGCAGCTTTGTAGCCCAGATGGCCAGCACCACCATCCTGGGACTCCCTGCTCCAGATAAAGAGACTGGGTGTGCGAGTGTGACAGTGAATGAGTGAGTGCGTGTGAGAGTGTGTGGCGGTGCCCCTCTCATCATTTGTAGATCCAACAACCATCATTTTCAAACCAGGAGTTCATTGAAAATAACACCTTTTACGCCTCTACCCGCTTCTCAGATTTTTCCTACAGGTGCCCAACCGAGCTTTCCAAACCTTGTCTCTGAAGGTATGAAAGAATTCCTCTTTTCTTCTGCATCCAGAAGAATTATACTCTCATGTATAAACTGGGTATAAATGATCATCGAGTAACAGAGTGGTGATTAGAGTTAAATGAAACACCATTATAGTAAAATGCATAAATGTCCAGGTATCACTTACAATCCCTTCTCCACACTAATAATAATCTGAACACCGACATACTATGACATACACCTGTGTATGTGTGTATCCTACAAACCCTTGCTCATCAGCTGTGACTGACAAGGCAGGGCGGGGGTTCCAGCTCTGCTCTTCAATTTTATCAACTCCATCTGTGGAAAATCTGCAGGATTTTCTTTTCTCCTCCTCCTCCCTAAATCAGACCCTATTAAGGTCCCATTTCTTCTATTGCTCCTTAAACACGCCCCAGAATGAATCTCGTGCTCCCATCAACAGAAAGTCCTCACTTAATATTGTCGCTGGGTTCTTGGAAACTGCAAAAACACCTATAATGAAACCAATTTTACCAAAGGCTGATTAATTTAAACAAGGGTTAAATTCCTATGGCATATTTCTGGTCACAAAACCATCACCAAACTTCTAAACAAAGACCCAAAATACTTCAAACAGTAAACACTAAAATAAATGTGCACTATACATACATTTAAACAAGATTAATACAAACAAGTAAGACAATACTTTTCCAACCTGTTTATGCCGGTTCAGGGTCGCAGATGGCCAGAGCCTCTCCTGTGCAGCACCTCAGGGCACAGGTGGGAACCCACCCTGGACAGGACGCAGTTCCATCACAGGATCATTAACACCCACACTCACTCATACGGGGCCATTTTAGACATGCCATTCACATCACAAGCATTTTTGGGATGGGGGAGCGGGGTGCGCGCGCGGGGGTGGTGGGTGGATAGGAGTCCCTGGAGAAAGCCCACGCAGACACCGGGGCAATGTGAAAATTCCACAGACAGTGGCTCTGATCAGGAATCCACCTTTTTCTCATCACTGTTGTAACGAAACCAGGTGGAATGAAACAGTATTATTCGAGGACCTGCTGTATGTACCTGCAGGTTATGGGGTAGGGCGTAATGAGTATTATTAGCATCTGTTTCTGTCTAGCAGTCAGGGTTACTTTGGTCAAAAAAGAGCAGTTTTTCAAATTACTGGTATCTGGGAGTCCCAACCATGTGTGAGTCAATGTGTGAATCGCATAAAAATATAAGCGGAACAGAAAATACCAGTATGCATTTCATGAAGAAGGGGTGGGTAATGTCATGAAAGTTGTTCCAGTTATACATGTCTGTATGTGAGCGTATTGATTGGGATGTAAAATTAATTTCATAGGGTGGGTCACAGTCAAAATAGTTTGAAGGGCATTGGGATGGGACCAAGGAACAATCAGTCAGGAAGGCTTGCAAACTGTCACTTCCTGTGTCCTGCTGGTTTATAATCCCTGACCAAAGTCACATGACCCTACCTGGAACTAGACTGTGTGCCATGTCTGAATCCCCACCTCAGGGTCCTTACCCTTTTTCCTCCCACTGCATAGCACCCATCAGGTTCTTCAGGATGGGGGGGGGTGTCTATGTTCCTAGTCCGAGGATCAGAAAGCAGCAGTTTACTAACAGGCATTCCACATTCCAGCAACTCCATTGGAGTTAGGGACGCAAAGATACACCTGGGCTTTCCTAAACCCTAGAGCCACGACGTCAGCTGTCGTGCCTCCAATAAGCATCACGGAGCAGCTCTGGGAATGAGAGGCCCCTCTCAAACTAGGGACCAGATGAGAGAGTGTGTCTATTCATGCACTTCTGAACCCCTAAAGTCTCTCGCCACTGAAATGCACGCTTCCTGACTGGGTGGCTCGGCTAAAGGTTTTGGGAACAACCCTTTCGTTCGCCAAACATACCAGCAGGAGCCTACCCGGGGAGGCTCCTTCTTTAATCCGTCTCCAGCTTAACTGCTCAATCGCATCCCCTAAGACTCCAGGCATTAATTCCGCAAACTAATGCTGTCAGAGAAAGTGAACTTGGCCGCTTGGAAAGTTACCTTGCAGGGACAGGTGGGGGGCAAGGGCGGGGGACCAGGGATCCCGGGAGCTTAAGGCGCTCAATTTCAGGAGCGAACCGGGGCGGGAGTGGGGGCCGTCCTCCTTTGGCCGAGAAAGAAAACAAAAGCCAGCGTGCGGGCGGCCACAAACAGGACCCTTTATCATTGCAGAAGCGCAAACACGACAGTGGGGACGAGGGCGCGGACCGGGACCCGCTGAAAAGCGGCGGGACGGAAAAGATGGGGGGTCAGAGAGCGCGGGGAACAAAGCCCCGCGTCCCGCGCCCAGACCTCGCGGGGGCACTCCGCACGCTCCGCGGGAGCCTAGCCGGGGGTGAGCTCTGGGGGTGCAGGTGTGCGGGTGCGCGCGCAGCGAGCCCCTCCCCCGCCGTCCCCCAAGCCCGGTCGGGGTGGGGTGGGGTGGGGGCGACCCTACCCCGGGTCCCGGGGCGGCTCTCACCCGAGCGGGGATCGAAGGTGACCACGAACACGGCCACCACCTGGTCCTCCTCCACGTCGCCCAGCTCCAGGCGCCCGGGCTGCAGCAGCACCTCGGAGGCGCCCAGCTCCTCGGGCTCCCGCCTCCTCCACGGCTCGGCGGCCAGGCGGCCGCCCCCGGCGCCGCCCCAGCCCCGGCCTCCGGCCTGCAGCTCCGGGGCCTGCGGCGGGGAGGCGGCCGGGCCCTCGGCCCAGCTCAGCA